ATTTCCGCGGAAGATGATGGTGGCCGATCAACAATCAAACCATCGGAGAAGGATCGCAGCAACGAGATAACTCCATCCCTACCATCCGATCTTTGATCAACTGGGGGATCGCCGGGAACTGCTCCGTCGATGAAGACCGCAATGATTTGTGAAGTGTCTCCACCGCGTCAAGCCTATGTGTTTCTTGACGGCGATCGATCTGGGTGCAAAGAGAATCAGAGGCGCAGAGAGGAGACAGATCTGTTCACCGGACTGTGAAGTCCGATCGCTGGTAGATCCCAGGGCAGAGAGGTCGAGGCGGTTCAGTGAGAAACTCCTAGACGCCGCCTCTCGCCGGAGCGGGCTGGAGTGGTGAAGCAGACCATGTCGCCGGAGGTAAAGCCCGTTACTCACTCCTCGCCTCAACTGTTCGCCGCGATGAAGGTAGCGACGAGCACTCAGGCCGATCGCGATAATCCGGCTGCGACATATGTGTGTGTGCGGAGCCGACAGCGAAGGCGGGCGATCATCCTTTGAGCGTCGAACAAACACGCTAGGATAGTGCATCACCATATCGCGCCAAAGGTAGCGCGCACCGGCAATTGGGGCTGGTCGGGAGGTGGTGGTAGAGCAAGTACTGATAACGTGTTAAAATAAAAACAGAATGGAGAGAAAAGGGGAATCGCATATTCATTCATCTGTATTTTTCATATTACAACAAAACATATATATAATATACATTTGTAACGGAAGGTAATAATGGTAGACATAAATGTGACCGTTACATCAGTTACATAATCAACTCATAATGTCCACACTTAATTATATTTATAACAAATGCACAATTGTACATAATATATTAACTATAGAGTTAATACCCAAAATTGTCCTCGACTATAGTGGTTTTTCTCAATTTCGTCCTAAACGACTTTGGTGACCTAATATCGTCCCAGACTTTGGTGTTTCGCTCAATTTAGTCCTCTATTTGTTATTCCGTCAAATTGGTGTTAAATAAAGGGACAATTCAGTAACGTCAACATTGATCTCTCTTTACTTTCAACTTGTGAAATGCGAAATTCCTCTTTCTTGTACGAATTACACCCAGAATTACTCCCGGACCTACAAATCAAATTTTATATTCGCAGTTTTAGGAGTAATTCTGAGAGTAATTCGTAAAAAAAAAAAAAGGATTTCGCAGTTCACATGTCTATGAGTAAAGAGATGCCAATATTAAAATTACTGAATTGTCTATTTATTTAACACCTAATGGACAGAATAACAAATGAGGGACTAAATTGAGCAAAAACACAAATGTCTGGGACTAAATTGAGCGAAACACAAAAGTCTGGGACGATATTAGGTCACCAAAGTCGTTTAGGACGAAATTGAGAAAAACCACTATAGTCGAGGACGATTTTGGGTATTAACTCATTAACTATATGAACATAATATATAAACTATAAAAATATAATATGTTAATTATATACACATAAATACACTTTTAACATATTATGTGTATCTAATTAACAAATTATATGTCTTTAATTTATTTATGTATACATATATAATTTATTAACTGAAAACACATAAAAATATTATATATATATATATATATATAAACCCTACTCCATAGTATATCTTCTGAAGTAGGCCTAGGAAACAAGAATAGTGTATCTAATGAAATAAATGTTTGACTATACATGAGATTCCTTGTCAGTCTGGAACAAATAAACAAAGTAGTACTAAAGTACAATACTGTATTAATATTGCAGTGGTGATGGACTGATGGATAATGGATTATAATACAGATTTGGCCATTTAGTTCTGTCTCCCTTTCCAGGTTTCTCTGTTGTCTAGCTCTTGTCACTATCTTCCCCTCCAGTCACATGTACTGTAAATTTCTCCACTTTCTCATCATCCCTCTTTGATTCTAAAAAATTAAAAATTAAAAAATGTAAAGGGTTAAATAAATTTATAAATTTTAAATGAAAAGTTAATTAGCCTTCTAAATTTTTTAAAAGTATAATTATATCCGTTAACAAGTTATATTGAGATAATGAAGTTCAAAAATCAATAAATAACTTGTTATTACAAGTCATTAGGGTTCCAGTATCAATTTTATCATCTCTAGTGACAATTCGGCGATCGACGACAGTTGCCGGTTGCCGTTTACCAGAGAAGGCGACCAGTTGGTTCACTATTCCAATTGTCGTTTTTTTTTTTTTTTTTTAAATAATTGGATAGGTAATGGTTTAGGGGGTGTTTGGTAAATGGTTGTTAGCTGATAGCTGTTAGCTGATTGGGTAGTGGGTTTAACTAGTTGATAGCATTAGCTAATTGTAGAAAAATATTTGGTAAATTAAGTGTTACATGTTAGTTGATTACATACAAAATGACTTTCTCAAAAAACTGATAAAAAAATTACTTTGAGCAGCTTTTTGAATTTTAACATTTTAAAACATTAAATTGTTACAAAAAGCTAATTAATCAAACACTCATATTGATTGTTTAACCAAGTCAAATAGTTAATAGTGACTAATTATTTTACCAAACGGGGCCTTAGAGGAGGTAAAAAATTGCTATTATTATTGTCATTACAATATCACGATCTCTATTTCTAATCGTTCTAATCTCATTAGGCTATCAAATAAAATAACATTATAATATATTGGAGGCTAAAAATACATAGTGAATGTTAGTTACAAATGGTAATTCTGATATGATTGTTAGGGTAACCTTATCCCTGCAAATATCTCCCACTCTAAAAAATGGGTCCCACTTCTACATCATCCCATTTGCAAATCATCTACTATAGAGACCACATCTCTGCAAATTTAATCTATTTTGAAAAGTGGACCCCAAACAATAAAATAAATAAAGAAAACAAACAAAACGTACATATATAAAATAAAAAATTAAAAAAAAAGGTATAAAGCTGCTGCCGCTGCTGCTGTGGCAGCAGCTTTGTACGATGCAAATGGTTTGCCAATTTGCATTACTTGCAAATTTGCAATCCAAATAAGCAATAAAAATAAAATATAAATAGCATATTATTTCACCTCATTTTACCACATCACTTTGCCAATGGGTTCTTTGCAAGGTTGTGGTTAGCCTTAATGCTCACTTTGCATTTGATTGATTAAGCCACTAGTGATAATATGCCAATTGAAAGTGACAAGGATAAGTGTTACGAAGTACAATTTTTACTTCATTTAACTAATCATTACTTGATTGGACCATCAATATGTAATTAATATTTTTAGTAAGTGATAATTACTCTTAAATTATAATTTCAATATTCATATTAAATGGTACAAAAGTTCTGCATAATGTGATAATGTTAATAATGTTGGTTCAATTTTAATTGGAGTACCCATTGTATAAAACCTTAACAAGATATAACATTGACGGTTTAATTTAATAAGTTTGGTTTAAACTGATTTTGAAATTATAATTATTTTTTAAATTGGGAATAGTTTTTGCATTTATTAATTATTACGTATAAATTGTCTAGTGTGTATTAATTAGATAAATAAGTTATATACAGAGTTTTTATGTTAATTAGCTTAGTTTGGTCTAAACCTTAGTTGAGTTATAGGAAAGTTGAAATGGTTCAATAACATGAATAATACGTCTAGCCATTGGCCATGTTTAGTAGGGGTGTTAGCGAACAGAGCTTTCGGTGAACTACTCGTGTTCGTGTTCGGTAAGCGTTCGTTTATCTTCGTTTGTTAAGGTAAATGAACATTAACAAACAAAATTTAGAGCTTGGTTAATAAACGAACAGAGCTTGAACAGTTTTAAGCTCGTTTGCTAAGAGGTCGTGAACAAGCTCGTTTGTGTTTGTTTACTAATGTTCGTGAACAAGCTCGTTTATGTTTGTTTAATAATGTTCGTGAACGAGCTCGTTTGTGTTCGTTTAATAATGTTCGCGAACATGTTAACAAACATATATATTATATTATATTATATATTATATTAGTTTTGTAGTTGTGTTGTTTGTTTGATTATTGTTTGTGAACGTAGATTATTTATAGTTCACGAACGAATTATGATCATGAACATGTGCAGGTGTTTGTTTATTAAGTGTTCATGAACGTAAATGAATATGTTCGTGAACGTGCTTGTTAATGAACATGTTTGTGAACGTGTTTGTTAATGTTAACGAACACGTTTGCGAACGTGAACAAACACGTTCACGAACATGTTCGTTAACGTTAATGAACACGTTCGTGAACGTTAACGAACACTAACAAACGCTTAACAAACGAACACGAACACTTCAAATTCCTTAACAAACGAACACGAACAACCTCCGTTCGTTTATGTTCGGTTCGTTAACAGCCCTAATGTTTAATAAATGGTTGTTGTTTTTTTTTAATGCTATCCACTCTATTACAGAATAGTATCTGTTCAAATATACTTTCCCAACCTAATAAAGTACAAATAACACCTCCTACCAACTCTATTACAGAGTAGTATCTTCTGGATCTCATGACCACCTACGGACTCTATTACAGAGTAGTATCTGTTCAAACATATTTATCGATCTCATGATCATCTACGACTCTATTACAGAGTAGTATCTGTTCAAACATACTTTCTTAATTTAATGAAACACACAGAGTCAACGCCTCCCCGAAGGCTTAATTTCATTAACCTGCCACATGGAAGCGGTCACTATATGCTATTTGAGCACACGGTGCTTAACTGGTAAGACTGTCAGCTGATAATTAATTGAATTAATTAGATGGTATAATAAAATATCTTTAAAATAGACATTTGACCCTGTCTGGACCGACTAGTGATCGGCTGATCGTCATCAAATGGTTGCTGTTGTTGTGCATAAATGCAGAAGGTAAAGGACGATTGAGAGAGCGATACGATACGGACATTGAAGGTTGAAAATGAAGTCCCTGCCACCTTCCTTTTTGTTCAATCTTTGTCGTATTCTATCTAACTTCATTCATTCATCAAAACAAACTGCCGATGTCGATTACTCCATCTATGTTTTTACTTCTTCCTCGTACTCTGCGCCACCCCCCATCTCTCTCTCTCTCTTCTGCTGCATCATCGCTGTTTTCGCTCCCTTCTGCGGCCCGAACCGCATCCCAAACCGACACCTGTCCGTCACTACTGCGCTCCCTCCAACGCCGTATTGAGATTCGCCACCCAATTTCTTTCTCTAAAATCTTCTCCCAGTTTCGTTTCTTGGATGGTTTTCTGGTTTTCTGGTTTCTGGGTTCTGGGTTCTGCTCCTTTCTGGCCGCCATTAATGGTGTTTGAGTTAGTTGGTCTCGTAAAGCTCGGTTCTTGCTCTCGTTTTTCTGATGGCTTCCCTCACTCCCGGCGTCTTGCTCAAACTTCTCCAGAATGTCGACGACAAAGACGCTAAAGTCGTGGGTGAACACCGCTCTGCTCTCCTCCAGGTATCTTTTAATCAAGTGTTTCTCACTTTCTCGTCCTGTTTATGTTCAAAGTTGTTTTCTTTTTTGATTTTTAATTTTTTTTCCTGGTTTTTGGATTATGAACTTTTTAAGGTGATAAGCATTGTGCCTTCACTGGACGATGATCCATGGAAGAGCAGGGGATTTTACCTGAGAGTTTCAGATTCCGAGCATTCGGCTTACGTCTCCGTCTCCGACGAAGACGCCGAGTTGATACTGAGTGACAAGATCCAACTCGGGCAGTTCATCCACGTGACTCGGCTCGACGCGGGGTCCCCTGTTCCGCTGCTCCGGGGACTGAAGCCGGTGGCCAAGCGGCGGCCGTGCGTCGGAGAGCCTAAGGATTTGATTTCCAGCGATTTTTTGACGGCTAGAAGCCGGTCGGAGCCCAAGAAGGTGAAGAAGAATGAGGCAAAGGCGAAAGAATCAGAGTTGAAGCATAGAAGACGACATTCCATTGATGCTGGTGGTAAGGTTGAAGGGATGGAGATGAAGAGAGTAAGCTTGGATTCCATGAGAAGAGGATGGGACCCGAGTCCGAGTGGGAAAAATGGGTCTAAGCCTATATCTAAGAACAATCCTCTCAAGAGCTTTAGCCCAGATTCTGTAAGTCATGATTGCACCAAAACCCAATTTTATTGTTTTACTTAACTGCAATAATGTCCAAATTTAGGTTGGTAAATTAGGCTTCTAACCCTAGCAATCACAAAAAAGTAAACCATGTAGGTTACCCATAGCTGACTAGGTCAAATAAAGAAAGTAGGGATTCGAATTCGTGACCTTATAGTTACACGTTTGGATGTCTTCCTATCTTGGGTGGGGTTACCCATTATTAACCTTTTTTATTTTGTTGGGCGTTGGTCGAGTTCAACCCCGCTTGATTCTGAACATGGGGCTGTGGCTTATTATGGAGGGATGTGGTTAAATGGTTAATGTCCACTTACTTATCACCAATTGGTTTATCATACAAGTATACAACCAGATAGTCAAAGAATTTTGTAGTTAAGCCTGCTTGACTTACAACACCCACAAGATAGGTGACCCATTAAAAAGTAAGCATAGTGCAGCGTTGAGATCCATTGGTTTATGTCATTTGTCAACTTGGATGATAAGGTGGAGTTTACCTAGTGTTTAGTGCACATTCTTGGGTAGTGGTTACGTATTTCTTGATCATCCCATGTTCTTAGTGGTTCAATGTATTCTGTCCTGTTTGCAGGTTTGTTCTCAGAAAAAGGTTTCTTTGGAAAAAGATTTGACACCAAGGCGAATAAGCATGGGTGCTTCACCACTTCAGAACAAGAACATCATTGTATCACCGAAACTGGTCAGCAAACCTTCTAAGAAAGATGTCCAAACATCCCAGGATGATGCTCTTCCTGGTCATTTAATGAAGGTGGATGTCAGCCTTAAGAATCTGTCGGACTCGAGGGTATTCTGGAGTTCTCTCCCGTCGCCCATTCATTGTCTTGGGAAGGTTGTTCAAGAGCTAATGTGTATGCCTTGTTCTCGTAATCGTCATGCCATGCTTATGCTAATGCGAGGCGTTTTCTTTGCAGGAGGTTATGGGTCATAGGAACGCTGCATTTTGCTCTGCTATGCTGGCGTTAGAAGAAGCTTCCGCTGCAGAAGGCGTCATTCATTGCATGAGGTTGGAACACAATTCTCAATTATCTGATGTTCTTAGTATTCTAGGCATCATGTTTGTGTGACTATTCGGTTTTTTTAGGCATTTGATTTCAATATGTTGCCCGAGTTTTCGAGTTATGTCACTTGCATTCTCCTCGAATTGGGCTATAATGCACATGGCCAAACCACACTAAAAGATTGAATCCAACTAATTAGCTAGTCTAACCCATGACCTTATAAACCCGTGGGACAACCCTATTCTCTCTTATTTTATCAATGTGGGACTCTTAACAACTAGTTTATATTACTTGCATTCTCCTCGAATTTATCTTTGCCTTGTATATGCTAGTTAACGTTCCTCGTGGCTTGCCCTTCCCATATTGCTAGCATTTTTGCAGAGCTATGCGAATTGTCGGATAGAAGCTCTGCTGGACAAGTGGTGGAGCGATTTCTGAACCTCCAGGAAAGCATGAAGAAGGCGTTTGCTGTTACTTATGCTCTGATGAACAGGAGAGCTCTCGAAACGAAAAGCAAAGATGGTTTTAGCTTACAATATTCGTTGCCAGAGATGTGCAAGAACGCGGTTAACAGAAATGCAGCGTTGTGGGTTCAGGCCGCAGTGGACACAAGCCTCTCGAGGTTTTGTCTGTTTTCGAATAATCAGCAGAAAGGAGGCATTTCATCAAGTGGCGAAAAGCATTATTGTGCTATAATAGAGAACGGTCCCAAGAAAACCGAGAGCGAGAACCTTTCACCTAAAGATAGGAAAAGCAACACGAAAGGGCAGCCTTCTCGTCCAAGGCGTTCCGTTTCAGCTGCTCAGAACATTGATGTTCGAAGGCAAGAATGGTCGAAAGGAGACGGGCTCAAGGATGCTGCAAATTTAGCTGAGAAGTTGCTGTCTTCTTCTCGAACGTGGTTTCTGAATTACTTAGAGACTAACCTAGACATGGCATTCGGGATGCAGAAGGGCGAAGGGAACCCAGAAATCGCCAGGCTCCTGGGACAGCTCAAAAGGGTTAATCAGTGGTTGGATAACTCGAGACAGGAAGGAGATAAACCCGATGAGAGTATCGAAGGCCTGAGAAAAAAACTGTACGGGTTTCTGCTCGATCACGTTGTAGTTTAGACCAGTTAGTCGTAGATTTCTGCACCATCACAGATTCATAGCTAAATACCTCCCCGATTACATGACTAACTAATTCAATTTATCCTAACTCTCTGATCAGAACAAACAGAACTTGAAAACTGCTCGATTTGGCTCGTACTTTATGTATCAATTCTTATGAAATCCTGCAAATTTGGTTGCTTTTCGACGTTTTGGTTTCCAGATCCATATGAATTAGTGCAACAGGGATGAACTATATGTGCTCAGCTTTAAACCATTTCATTTTTTACAGAAGGATTTAAGAAGTTTTTCTTTTCTTTCTCATATATGTAAGAATCATGGAAGCAGAAAACTATATCTACTGAAGAAAATCCCTGCAGGCTTTCATACTTTCAGCGAGTCAAGAAGCGAGCAGAAACCGAATTCTTGGTCGATTTCTCTACCGATCTCTCTGAATCTTTCTCGGGTGCAGAGGAAACTGGATGAGTGGTCTTTGCCCACATCTTCATTCCTTTGCAGGACTTCATATGTGCATGCAGCTTCTCAGGGTTGAATGGCTTCCCACATTGCCTGCAAAAAGATTATAAAAAAAAAAAAATTCATTTTGGGTTATGAATTTATGATATAGCCACATAGCATCAGAACTTAGAGCAAAGGTCATGGGTTTGAATCACATTAATTCATGTTAATTAATGTAGTTCTTGTGATGAGAGCTTATTCACTTACGAGCAGTTTGGAGACTTGTAGTAGGTGCCGGAGAATGATCTCCGGCCGCCGTTGTATACCCCGTCGCAGCTTTTTCTGAAACCAGTTGCATATTCATTATCGATTGTTTCAGAATCCATGAATGTTATATTGGTTTATTTGAAAATTTTTGAATGCATTTTTTTATTTGATGCAATTAATTACCTGGGTTTACTCTGCTGTTCTTGGTTCCAATTAGTGCGATAGATCCTCTGAGACCCTCCGAGCTTCTCCGGTTTACATATCTCCGCCGAGCTGGCGGCGGCCGGCCGGCGCCGCTGCATCGGCAAAACAGCTGAATCATTAGTATCCACGGTGCCGCAAGAGATTAAGTTTCGGAAAATGCTTGAACTTCCGCCGCCGCCGCCGGAACTGCTCCGGCTCTTGCCGAACGTGGAATTCGAGGTTGTCGAGCGCGGCGTGCCGTTCTTTTCCTCGTCGCCGTCCTCGCCGCCGCCGCGCTTCTTCTTCGCGAAGAGGGAGCGAAGGGAGGAGGATTTCTGATCGGCGTCGTCGACGCTGCGCCTTCCGTCGTGCATCTCTTGATCTTCTTCAAGCTTCGCCGCCGGGGAATCGTCGGTCATAGTCGAGGTTTCGGAGCCGAATACGGGAGATTCCTCCTCTTCGATCTCCGAGGATGTTTTTCTTGATTCATCCGAGGGCGATTGATGATGACTTTGATCCGTTTCTTCTTTTGCCGAAGGTTTTGAGCCTTTGGCTGCTTCCTCTTCTTCTTCCTCTAAGAGTGAATCTTTTTGCATGGGCACAACTTTTTCACGGTAACAGTGTTCTAAATAATTTTAACAAAATTTATTAGAATTTCAAGAACTGCTTCAAGTCTATATAGGAAACAATTATGATATTTTCCCTCTAAAAAAAAAAATTTCTAAACAGCATTCTGGCTCGATATAGTATTTTAAAGGAGGATCTGGACCTAATTTGATCTTGATCTCTTTTCCTAAATATTACCTACCTAAAGCAAGAGAATCTAGACCAGTTTGATTTTTGATCTCTTTCTCTTAAATATTACCTATTGAACGATCTAAATATAATTTCAAATAAGCTAGCAATAAATATTATAATCTCCAGAGTCATAATTGACTATAAAATATCTTCTTTTCTTTCTTTTTGAAAACTATAAAATATCTTTTATTATTATTATAAAATTGAAGATTAAAGCTTATCCAATTGATGAGACATTTAAATGGTGATTTTTTTTCTCACATTAAAAACACATTTATTAAAAGGAAATGGGGAACAAATTAAAAAGGAAACAATAGATTAAATAATGAAAATGATTTGCTGCAAATACTGATAATAAGTAGACTTACCTTTGGTAGGTGTAGATGAGGAAATTTCGGAGCCTTTAAGGACATATTCATTGTCGGAAATAGGTGTTAGAAGATCATCGTCCACCAGGTCTTGCCATACATAACCTGTCTTGTATTTCCTGTATTAATATAATGTTGCTAATTAATTCCTTAATTATTTCTTTCCTTAATTAATTACTCGAAACAAAAATGTTCATTACCAACCTCTTATATGACCATGCATATGACTCCGGCAATTCTTTTCCCCTTAACTCTCCCATCCATCTCTTCACGTCTACATTTCCATAATAGTAAAAGATTTTGTGACAAATATATATATATTTTTCTATATAATACAAAATTTCTCCCAAACTCAATACATTGAACTTAACATTGTACACTATTACTCTATTCACAAAATTCAGTTTCGAGATTTTATGAAAAATATGATTAACACAGCTGTGAGTCTTCAAATTTCCGTCCACCAATGGAAGGTGGATGAAATCTGAAAACTTGCCTGTATGGGCATCTCAATTAGTCACTGGGGTGAAGTTTGAAAACAATCATCCGGATTCGAGTCTAAGCCGCGGCAGTGTTGGAGCAACCTCTCAAAGTGAGGGACTCCTTGTGGACAGTAAACAAAGATTTAGTTATGCTCCATCGGCCCGGGACATGGGGCCCTTGGTGTCGGAGATTCAACCGGGTAATATATATATATATATATATATATATATATATATATATATATATATATATATAATTACAACATTATTACTAACCTCGAAGACGGACGCCGTGGCGGGAGAGGTGGTGGACGCGGATGAGATGGGGGTGTTCGATGCGGCCATTGCGGCTGAGGAAGTAGACGATGTGCAGCTTCCGGACCTCCGCGGCGGCGGCGGCGGCGGCGACGGAAGGGGGGTGGTGGTGGTGATGAGGCTCCATGAATCTCCTGCAAAAGGGACGTGCCACGGCCGAGACCGGCAAAGTAGTTACAAAGAGGAACAAAGTGCTTCTTTTTAGGACAGACATTATCAAAAGTTAATTGCAATTAATATAATTAACAACATAAAAACCATTGCGTGAATGTTGATTAATAAACAACAGCAAATCGAAACCTTTGTCTGTGGCGTGCCGGCCCAATCTACGACACAGCGCAAACATAAACAAAACCTGGTCGTACGTTAACCCAGATCCGCCGATTATAATAAAGAATAATTACTAATTAGCATCCCTAATTGCAGGCCCTAAATAGGTTTAACAATATTATAATCACCCAGTTGTTACTGTTCGTGTTTAGAGTGGAAAAGAAAAGGTATAGAAATAATACATTCTTTAAAAAATAATAATAAAAAATTCAAGAATATTTTTGGGTTTGGAGATTACCCTTGTGAAGAAGATGAAGAAGAGTGGGGGAGAGAAAACGCGGGTGTGTAGATCTTAGCTACAAACAAGCAAGTAGTAGCCTAGGAAGTTTTATAATTTTATTAAAGGCAAAATATTAGAGGAAAAATACAAAATTAAATAATATATTTCTATAAACTCCCTTTATTTATAATAGTCTACAAATTATATAAAAGTGATAAATTACATTAGGAAGACTTGACAAAGTGAACGAGGAAGGTGTTGATAAAAACGACAATAATTATACGAGAATTATACTTTACCTGCTAAACTATTTAAGATATATTATTGGTATTTATTCATTTCTATATTAAGTGATTTAATAATGATAGATTATATGTATATGTATGCTTACTTACTATAGCCGAGGATTGGACAGCTTTTAGACATTTGACCATTAATCTTTTTGTTCTTCCCAAACATGGTCTCTTTAGGGTAGCCCCTATGATTTTACAATAATGATCGTGTAATGTGTATGTCTATTTGGGTCGGATATATATTAAATTTTTGTTCAACCCAAAGTTTTTTTTTTTTTTTTTTTTTTTTTTTTTTTTTTTTAAATAAAGTTAATTGCTAATTTATGTAGCAACGTGGAGTATGTAAAATTAGTAAGATAAGTATTAATAGAATTTAAAAGTTAAAAGACCTAATTGAAGTTGAATGACCTAATTGCATGATGTGTATAGTAAATAGATATCCTATTAGATATTTATATGCCCAATTGGAGTGTATATAAGGCAATTACCTAAATGATAAGGCTCACGAACCACACAATAAAAGTAAACAATATTAGAAATACCCTATGAAACGGGCTCGACTGAGAATGTGTTGGCAAAAATCAAACTCCTGACCTTCTGGTACGAAAATCATATTCTACCCCACTCCCTCACCTCTTTCGGGACAAAATTGTAGAATAATTTATCAATTTATAAGTAGTCAACAAATATAATTAATTGTGTCATTTTTTACAAATTTCATCATTTAATATAATATTTGGTTCCAAAAACTGACATAAAAAGCATATTACATTCCTTTTTATGCCTTTATAATGTATTGTAAATAGTTAAGGCCAACCCCTTTTCATTTGAAATTTCTATGAAGTGGTGAAATCTTGTTTAGTGGGAAGAAAAGTGATATTGTGTTCTACTTTACTCACTATTATTACTAGGAGAATAGGACAATGCTACAAGATTAAAAAAATATTCACTACCAAATAAAAAATAATCAATTTCGAATGTACTTTACTGAATTACTGGTAGTGAATTATTTCAAAATATGCTGATATGTTTGAAAATTAAAATTCGTCTAAAATTTATTGATATTAAATATATAAAGATCTACTATTTTTTGGTAAGATAAAGATCTACTATTTTTTGGTAGTTTTTTTTTTTTTTTTTTAAATAAATCAATCTGATGTAATTTTACATAATTAATTCATAATATATTAATAATTAACAAGAAGTTAATGAATACAACAATGATGACATTTGTCACACACTTCATTATCGACAGTAACATTAGTTTTTTATTTTTATTTTTAAAGTGGTTTAAATATTGTGTTTTCTAGGGGGAAGTGATATTTTATATTATTATTATTATGATGATAATGACAGATTGGGAGTATATAGTTTAATTGGCTGAATTGATCTTATCTGATTTTAGGCTACCATTTGTCTGAATTTAATGTTCTGGACATGCCTATTTGTGCATAATAATACCAACCAACTAACTCCACCCACCCACCCTCCCACGCACATATATACACACACACAAACTCGGTAATATTTAAAAAAAAAAAAAAAATCTTCTTCTTATTATTATATGATTAGCCTGACTCCATAAATCAATCAACAAGGTCAAGTACGCAAAATTGAAAACTTAACGTGCCAACATTGTCCTAGTCGATTGACATGGCAATCAGACAATGGCCCTGTTTGGTAAAATGGCTGTTAGCTGATAGCTGTTAGATGTTAGCTGATTGTGTTAATTAGTGGGTATAAATAGTTGATAACATTAGCTGATTGTAGAAAAGTGTTTGGTAAATTAGCTGTTAGCTGATAACTGTTTGGTATAATTTCTTTTCTCAAAAAGCTAATTGAAAAAGTTGATTGGAGTAGCTTTTTGAATTTTAGCCTTTTGGAGTTGCAAAAAGCTAATTAACCAAACATTTATATTGATATTTTAACTAAATCAAACAATTACTAGTGGTCAAATAAGCCAAAATTGGCCTATAGGCCAATTTTTTACCAAACAGGGCCAAGAGAATTTTTGATAAATAGCTGTTAGTTGATAGTTGTTAGCTGATTGTGTTAACGAATTTGACTAGTTGATATCATTAGCTGATTGCAGAAAAGTGTTTGGTAAGTTAGCTGATAGCTGATTACATGTATAATGACTTTTTCCAAAAGTTGCTTTGAGAAACTTTTTAAATTTTAGCAGTTTGGAGTGATAAGTTGTTTCAAAAACCTAATTAATTAATCACTCATATTCATTGTTTAACCAAATCAAACAACTAATAGTTGTCGAATAAGTCAAAATTAGTCGATAAGCTAACTATATTACCAAATATGGCAAGAGGTAGTTATGATTAGGGATGCCAATGAGTCAGGTAGTGTGGGTCGGGGAGGGCTACATCCATCACCCGACCTACCTTATATTTTTTCCTCCCACCCCCACCTCCAACCTGCATTGGGTAGACTTTTTCAAAACCCACCCCCACCTTCACCGGGTGCGGGTGCCTACCACTTATCATCTTATTATTTTTTTTCAAAAAATGATATTTAAATTACTTACACATAATAAAATAATAAAATTCATTAGTGATAATAAAACATAAAATAATAGAAATATTTAAATATAATAACTAAATTGTTAATTTAAAAAAATAAATTTAGTAGTTTAAATATAAAAATAGTAAAAAGATACACGAAATTATATAAACTTTTATAAATAACTACATAATAATACTTATTTTACTATTATATATATATACACATACACACATGATGGGTCGAGTGGGGTTCTAGGCGGGTTTATTACATAGAACCTGAATCTAACCCAACTCATCACGGATTTACCTTTTAAAGATCCACCCTCGACCCACTACCCACCATCACCTAAAAAAACCCGATCCATATGCAGTGAATTCGGATAAATATTCGCGGGATGGATTGAAATTTTCATCCCTATAAGAGCTCCTATAATAAGCTAATAACCTCTTCCTGGAAAGGCCAAATTTGACATACAACCATATAATATGACATATATGATATGTTGTTGGCCGGTGGTGACCTAATTGATTTTCTTCTTTAATTTATAGTTTATAAAAAAAACTTTATATTAAATGAATAAAATACATACACAATATAGAATCAAAATGAAGATGATCCAAAAAATATATTCACTATTAGAAATCTCAGGATTTTCATTTACCGAAAAAATATTAGAAACTTAAAGTTCTTGGTTGGAAATAGGGGTGTACAATTCAGTAAAACATCAATTAATCAACTAAACATATATATTTTGATTAATCATTTTTAACCAAAATTTCAGGTTTGATTAACAATTAAGGGTTTACAAAAATTTTGGTTAACAGTTAGTTTGATTCGGAAGTGTTGATTAACCGAAATGCTAGGATGTGTGTATGTTTTATTATTATTTTTTTTTTGTAACTTATAAATCATAATATTAAACTAGTTTTATTTTTTTATTTTTAAAAAAAAATTTGTTGTGTGCAGTGTGAAACTATGAAGAGAAAATTTTCATTTATAAATTTTAAGAAATTTTAAATTTATTTAAAATAATTCGGTTAACCAAACACAATTTTCGTGTAGTTAATTTGAAAATAGGTTGAAAATTTCGATTCAGTTAATGATTAAAGTAATTTATAAAATCGATTCAATTTTCACTACTGGAAATTATGGAATTTCCGACCACCTGAAAGTGATTTTAAATCAAGTTGAAAACAAAAAGTGGTCAGAAATAGCAATAAATGTTTTTCCGGATACCAAAAGTGGTCGGAACAAAGCTTTCGACTTGATTTGAAATCACTTTCGGGTGGTCGAAAATTCAATAATTTCCAGCAGTGTTTTAACAAAATTAATCAAATGAACAACTCTATACAGAAATGACCTTTTTGACCACTTTGAATACATGGAAAGTCTTTCCTAGCTATTACCAACCACTCATCGATAGTGGTTAGTAACACTAATGTTATTTAGCATTTGGGCAAATTATTGTGTGGGACACAATACAAAACAATGTCGTTTTGATGTTAACTTCTTTTTTTTTTTTTCTTTTTTGTTTGTTTGTTTGTTTGTTTGTTTGTTTGTTTTTTTTTTTTTGTTTTTGTTTGCACGCGTGTTAGAATAATGAACATTATAGGGATAAAAATTAATATATTTTATGAGTTAGAATAATGTACTTTTATGTATTGGAATAATGTATTTTACAAGTATGAACAGTTAGAGTAATATATTTATGTAATTTTAGACCGTGGTCTACACAAATGTATAGAACATAGTCCACACAATAATGTTTACAAGTTTGGCACGGTGGATAAAAATGAATCAGAAATACGGAAAAAAAAAAACGTAAAGAAAAGAAGAAATAAAATAAAAAGGTAAAGTCTATGTATTGACCTTTTGATCGGCAAACGTTTGTGATGAGCAAAAGCGATTTCTTCCATGGGAAAAAGCATCCAAAACTTTCTATTTTCTTCAGATATAAATTAGGGTTCCATATGCATCGTCTCCCCCTCCATTATATTGATCTGCAAGTAACATCACCAAATAAGCTACCTATACGCATACTTTATATTTCATAATTAAAACACCGGTCCATTATTATTATTATACTACTAAGATTAATTAATTACAATTAACCTTGAAATTTCTTATAAATAGTCTCCTATGTATACTACTAGTTTACAAGTTAAAGGTCCTTACCCGAAAACCAAAATCTCCAATCTCAATAAATACCCGGCCCATAACCCCACAAGTCCACAATACATAATTAAGCATGCAAATAATCCAATACCCAATACCATTAGTTCAAATGACGCAAATTATACTGTGGACCGCGGTTCAGATTGCATTATGGTCCAGACATCAAATATACACTTCAGTTTTATTTCAATACAACTACAATATCATTTTGATATAATTACAGTTTCGCTGGACAATATACACTCAAATATGTGAAATTGTTATTCAGTTTCATTTTGTATACAATACAGTTTCATTTCAACACAATTACAACTTCATTTCAATTCAATTGCAGTTTCATTTGATAATATAATAAAAATAATACGTGAAACAGTGTCAGTTTAGATACACTATAGTGTCTGTCGTTTTGGATCATGGTCCATAGTATAATTGCTATTAAATGATATGATTGTAAAAAAATCCAAAAATGGGAATATAGATGTTGAAAAAAAAGGGGGTTACCATCCAAAACAAAACAAGAAAATAACATAATATATATGTACTTCTTTAAAACCTGCAACCGCTATTCGAATGTACGTTTTGGGTGAGGTTCACCTTGTGAGTTGTGATCTTAACTAATAGAAAATCACAAAAAGGTAACCCAGAATATATTGTCCATAATTGACCGGCTAAAATTGAAAAGACCAATAGGCAGCCTCACAAGGAGTCAATTAGTTGAACTTAAAAATTTACGATTACCAATTGCAGGACTAACTTGATTGGGGTTGTCCCACACTAACATCATATTTTAATTTTAAGAGCAAGCCCAACAATATGGTTTTTGTTCAAGTTTTTAAAGGGCAACAAGGAAAGAGAGAATGAGAAGAAAAAAATGCACCCGACACACCAGAAAACTAGTTTTTTTAGTGGACTTCACAAAAAACTAATCCTTATAGAACATATCCCGTATGTTTGAAAACTAAGAAGCTTAAGACATGCATGTGTCTCAAAATGCAACAAATATTTTAGGTTAACCCGGCCATAAAAATCGACTATCATATATGTCAAATTCGAATTAGTCTTATAGTGGTGAAGATAACCGAACAACCGGCAGACAAAAGTATTACTTATGCAAGAATTTCTTACCTCATCTATCTTTGTACATATCTTCAATAACGGAAAGCAAAGATGAAGGCAAGTAGGTGTTGATGAAGAACATCATACGAACATCATCGGACATATATAAGGAAAAAGGTCAAAGAAAGAGAGCAGGATGTCGCTGTTTGGGTAACCGTAGGAAGTTGTTTGATGCTGAAATGTTGAGAGTACAAATACCAAAAGTCTGCGTGCCGTTTCAGGTGAGAGAGAGAGAATATGCAGATGAAGAAGATGATCCTTCCCTGTCCTTTCGATTTATTTTTAAGGTAGTCTTTGTTGTTTCCCATTTTATTAATCTTTAATTTATTTGTATGATAACCACTTTATAACAGATGACATAGCTAACAACAAGTGACTATATTATATATATAACACATGCTTACATAAAAATAATTTGACCTATAAAAATACAATCAACTACTCAACGTATTGAAAAGTAAATTTACAACTAGGTTTAATCGAATCGACATGATGATAAAGAACCAACAGTTAATCCTTTGTCCCTTGGCTAACCTCAACAACTAACCCCTTAACCAAGCCTCAATTGTAACTTACTTGACTTCTTTGTAACACACATTCATCATCTAAATAAATTCAAAAATATAATGTTTTGAAAGGAAAAAAAAAAAGAATCTAATTGTTATAAATAGCCATCAAGAATATATTGCACTGATGGATCGAAGATATTTCGTTGACAAGTCCAAGAGTAGAAAGCCCAAGGAAACGAGTCTAGAAAGGCCACAAGTCACCCAAGGGCTAAACCTCGTGTTTCGGTGGAGGTCAGCTCGGACGAGGAGGACATGAGGTACGTGAAACGTTCCAAGAGGATACATGCATGGTTAGCTCGACCAGTAGGAAGCGCCTGATCCGCTCAATCGTTGCTTAGGTGTTGTTAGAGCTCCTTCATAAAAATTGTATTCAGTGTCTTAATAAAGGGGACTATACATCTTGTTATTACGTACTAATCTGTCTCAATTATATTCATCATATGTATCAGTTATACACTTATATGTATAGCGTTCTTTTTATGAAAATAATTGAAAATAAAATGTATTATAATCAAAACTATTACGGAGTATTAACTTTGTGAGTACGGCCCTAAGGTTAGTTATATATGTTTCTCATTAAAATACATTATATGTAAGGTAGATTATAGAGCATTAGTTATGAAAAAAATATTAATATACTCATTCCAAATTATCCAATAAAAAATAAAAGTAGGATACCTACAATCAGCGATAATGTCAAGGAGCAATATTCTTTGAAGATAATTCAACTAACGATGACAAAATGTTATGTCTCCAACTATTATTGCTATATATTAATTTAATTAATTAATTAATTAGTTAATTAAATGGTATGTAGTTATCTAGTCATGGAATTGAACTTCAAGGTAGGTGACATGATGGTAGCCGTAGACTCATGCTTAACGCTTTAATTTCCTCTACAACTACATACAATTGTTTAAAAAATAAAACCAAAAGGATGACTAAATGGATGATTTGATGATATTACTATTGTTTTGCATAATGAATGTCTTATACTTTATTAAGTAGATACTATAAATATGTTAGAATGTATTTAAAAGAAGTGTATAGATCAACATCAGCTTCGAAATTAATAATGGAGTGTTGTATGTAAGTCGCACGGGAGAAAGAGTTATGGAAAATCATGGTGGAAATAGTCTCTTCTCCTATAAAAGTTGAATCTCCAATTCTAAGGTTCCTCACATCTTAGCTTGACAGAGCATTTGGGAGGATATATAAATCATGATGACTTAATGACTCAACAGACTAGCCTGTAAGGCTAAATGCTAGTGCATATAAGGGATCTGTCCCTAGCATATAAGGGATCTGTCCATTTGAACATAATCCCAAATGACTCAACAGACTAGCCTGTAAGGCTAAATGCTAGTGCATATAAGGGATCTGTCCATTTGAACATAATCCCAACACTGTAGCTGTCCAGGTTTGAACCTTGGTTTCTTCTCCTAGAAACTGGAAAATGAACTCTCAACAAGCTATCAGGTGGTTGGTGATTAGCGAGGGAGATGTTGATGATAATCCAAAAGTATTACCGTAATAATTCCATCAATGGTCCTCCGACTATATTTATTTTTCAAAATTAGTCCTCAACTTTTAATTTGGACACTTTACGTCTTTTGATTTTCAATAATTTCTTTCCAATTGAGGTCATTTGGTCAGATTACAGTAAAGTGAACTTTAAATGAAAGGGTAAAGTAGTCATTTCATCTGTCTAATGTATAATTCTTCGTATTTCTTTCTTGAATACGCGACTTCGGACATCAGATTCACTTAATTGCTTAATCCCTAATGAAATTTTGTTCTTCGAGTGGGTTTAGGAATTAAGCAATTAAGTAAATCTGATGTCCGAAGTTGCGCATACAAAGGAGAAATATGAAGAATTATACATTAGGCAGATGAAAGACTACTTTACATTTTTATTTAAAGTCCAATTTGCCGTAATATGACGAAAGGACCTCAATTAAAAAGAAATTGAAAATCAAGAGACGTAAAGTGTCTAAATTAAAAGTCGATAACTAATTTAAAAAAATCAATATAGTCGAAAGACCATGACTGGAATTAACTTTTTTATTTTTCAACCATTTATTGAGTTTCCTGCTAAAATGCTTCAAATGAACTATTTTCCCTCCAATAAAAGTTGTACTAAAGCTATGGAAATTGTACACCTAATCCCTCTTTCAAACGACACCCTAATAATATTCATCTCCACTCCAATTGTCTTTCCCCTTAGGACCAGTGGGCCCTTCTTCACCCAAAACCTCACTAGGAATATTCTTAATTATCTTCTCCAGCTCTTCTTTCAGTTTTTCCGGCAGAAATCTCTCCACCTTCTCCAATTCCTTTTCTAAATCGTAGGTAGTCTTGGGACCCCATTCTCTAGCAAAGTTCAGCCATGGCGACTCCACAACCACCGACCCCAAATACTCCGCCGACACCACCGAGAAACTCGCCGCCGTGTCCATGTACACGTCACCTTTCTCCATGTCATCCCTTATCCCTATATCCTTGCCGCCCTGTAACACCAGCCCAGGACTCGAATACGTCGCGTGGCCGTGCAGCGACGAGTAAACCACCGGCTTGTTGCCGTCCTGGAGCTCTACCGCGGCGGCGCTCAGCCATCTCCCTTTACTGTGCTCCGAGAAATACACCCTTTTTAACTCCCCGTTGAAGTTGCTGATCCTTAACGTCACGTGCTCCCAATCTCCGACGTGTTCTCCGATCTTCCCCAGTTTTAGCTGTAATAATATAACTTTCTATTATGATATAACATATACTCCTACCGTCCCATTTTATATGTTTGACCGAAATTATTTTTAATTCAATTATGTTTTAGTATTATTATTAATATATAAAATTTATATATTTAAAAACTATACTAAAAATACTATTAATCACAACAAATCAAATTTAAAAATGCATACAAAAATATTATAGAAAATAAACAAAGAAAAAATAGTTGATTTGACCAACGAATACTAATAAGACAGATAAAATGAAACAAAGAGAGTATTAATTAAGTGGTAGTTAAGGACCTTGTGTTCTAGTGATACAAGTGTGAAAATGACTGTAATGTGACGAAGGTAATCTGTATTTCCAAAATTAGGACGTTTTTTGAAAGTTGAAAAAAATTAAGAAAAAAACATTTGAAAATGCGTTTGATGTCAAATCTTGTCAAAACCTCAAATGCAAGTCTCACTTGCGTTTGTTTGTTTGTTTGTTTGCTTTTTTTTTTTTTTTTTTTTTTAATTTGGTTCTCTCGCCTTCTCCTTCGCTGGCCTCGTCGGCTTCTCCAGCGAAGGAGAATGCGAGAAAAGCAGGCGACCAAATAAAAAAAAAGAAAATACAAGTGGGACTTTTGTGTTTGTGATTGACCAGATCTGACATCAAACGCATTTTCCAAATATCTTTTTCCAAATTTTGTCTCAACTTTCAAAAACGTCCTAATTTTAAAAATATAGACTACTTTGGTCATATTATAGTCATTTTTTCAACATAAGTTACTCTCCCATATGAAAAGTTGTGCAGATGTACCCTTAGACGAAAAAGTAATTATATACAGATACAGTATAAGTAGTACTTAAAAACATTACCGTTAAGAACACGAGTTTCGCCCTCGCCGGGCCATTGAAGGGGTAGAAAACCCACACCACTAGATCGGTGAACGTGGCGCCGAGCATTGGCTTGACGTGGATGTAACATATAGAGTTTTGGAGATTTCCTTGCTTGACTCTGTCGGGGTCGGTGAGTGGGAGGTCCAGCCAGTACGCGCCGTCGTTGTCGCCGCCTTGGGGGAGATTTTCGCCGCCAGGTTGGACGGCCACCGGGGAGGATTCTTGGCCTTTGGTGTACAGCAACGCTCCGTTTTGGAAAAACCAGGTGACGGACGACGGCAAGAATTCGTCGTCGGGGTGAAAGTAAATCCGGGGAGAGTAGGTTTGGATCAGCGCTTCTATTTGGCTTAGATTCGGCATTGCCGATGTGTTTTTCGGGTTGACATTCTTCAAACATGCGACTGATGACGACGATGTTTCATTGTTGTTGGATAACTGTGCTATGAATGTTCCGGCGTTTACGCCGGAAGCTTGGATTCCTCTGTCTTTCGGCCGGGATAAGTAGATGTTTAGATCGTTTGAGCCCCATATCCAATCGTCGTTTTCAGAAACGTCGGTGAAATCCACGCGAACGCAGCGGATTTTGTCCAGGGGAGGCTTCTCCGGCGAGGTGGTGACGATCTGGCCGACGGGTTTGTAGCCGTCGGCGGGAACCGGCAGCCAGATGTAGGCGGCGCTGTCTTGTTGAATCCCGGTATTTTCGCTGCTCCAAACAAGGGTGTAATCAACCGGCGAAGCTAGAGCTCCGGCGCCGGAGCTACCATTTGTGACATCTTTTCCGACCAGAACCCACCCAAAAAGCCGCACGTTATTGGGTTGCACATAATGTCCGAGCATGTAAAACCCGTCCGGTACGGCGGTTGGCTCGAAAATGGCGGCGCCGATACCGTCAGGTCCGCCTTCTTGGGCCGCCCAGATTTTCGTAAAATTCGAAACTTCCGCCACTATTAACCCTCCAAGATCAATCGCTCCGGCGCCGAAGCCTGTCCCCGGCGGCCATTGCGGCAGCGCAGAAGGAAACTGGAAGGCGGTTTCCACCGCCATATCCGACACACCGGAGAGATTTCCGGGCAAAGATGAGACCTTCAAGCAATTCACATTTCTTGCCAATGCAGATAACAAAACGATCCAACCAAGAAACACTATCTGCATTAAACCTTTCTTAACAGCAAATGACAAGACGGAAAAACTGGCCAAAAACGCCATGATCGCCGGCGACCAATAATCTTGGGTGGCAAGTGGCAACCTCGGATTTATCGAAAGCTGCCGCTAACAGTCTGCATCAACATACAACGTTGTCTTTAATTTAACAACAATAACAAGCTTGACGATGAAATACAGTGAGAATCTTTTGTGTGGTGGCACAATCAATGGAGGATTGTTCGTAGAAACCTAAATTGCAGTAATAATATATATAGTCAGCGATCATAACTCAGTATAAGTAAAAGATTAAAGAGATTTTTACAATAATAACTATTTCTATTTGGGGCAGACACGAAATTTGGAATATTCTTATAGAATATATATGCCAGAGTGGCAGACACGATCATTTGGATAAAAGTGATGTAATATTTCCTCATTCCCGTTCTAAATTTATCTTATAATATTTCGTATTTATTAAAGAGTATTTAATTATATTTATTTTAGGGAAAAGTGTCAAACTAATCCCCGCATGGATATTGTAATGGGGTCTCCAAAGTAAAAAAAAAAAAAAAAGTTTTATTGAAGTCTTCTAAACCGGTAAAATAGTTCAATTAAGTTAAAATTGACTTGTTTATTAGGTTAAAGCCATGTGAGGTTGACACGTATCTTTTTATTTATTTTTAAAACAATTTTTTATTTATTAAAAAATATAAATTAAAAAAAAAAACGCGGACAGCAGTTGGCTGTCTTCTTCACGGACATCCGCTGTCCGGCGAGAAGACAGCCACCGGCTGTCCGCCGCGAACAGCTGGAGACTATTTTTTATTAATTTATATTTTTATTTTTTATAAATAATACGTTTATTTTTAATAAATAAAAAATTATTTTAAAAATAAATAAAAAGACACATGTCAACACCATATGAAATTAATCTGATAAACAAGTAAACTTGGATTTAATTAAACTCTTTTACCGGCTTAGAGAACTTCAATGGAGTTTTATTTACTTAAGGGACCCAATTGCACTATTTATGTGACTTAGGGGGCCAAATTGACACTTTTCTCTTTATTTTATATTTCATATGTTACATTTCATGTGTCTAATTCTATTAACGAAACTTTGATCCAAGTTATTTATAATTCAATTTTTTATATATATATATTTAGATATTACGTTAGTCAAATAATCGATCATAAGTATACTTATAGGATCGGTAAGTTAATGAGGAGTAAAATTTTAGTTGAAAATGTATTATTATTTGAATAAACATGTTTAAATTTATATAATCAGAAATAATCATAAATATAACTTTTGGATATTCTTGTAGGGAAAAAAAAAAAATCTGTATCTATAACACTCCATATATGCTAATATAATATACCATAAGTATAAATAATCCATTCCGATTTAGTCCTCTCAGCTTTAACAATATTTTGTTTTAATTTAATAATAATTTGACTTAATTTTAGTGGTTTTGTCATTTTCGTAATCTACTTCAAGGGCTAAAAATGTTAACTATATTATATATGGGTAGCTTTTTTTTTTTTTTTGAATGCTACTAGCTCTATTACATTGTAGTATTTGTTCATATACTTTCTCAACCTACTGAAACACAAAGAGCTAAGGCTCGAACTCATAACCTTCCAAATGGAAGTCCAACACGGATACCATTAGACCACGTACATAGTCCTGGTATATATGGGTAGCTAATACTCTATACAATATATGCAAATACTTCATAATATTTGGCATTAATTATTCTAATAAATACTATAATTAGTCATATAGGGATAATAACAATAAATTAGGGAATACAAATTAGCTGGGGACAGAGTCAAGTTGATCATGTTCCAATCAATATACCATGCACATCATTGACATAAATTACATTTTTAATTACTAAATTTATATTTTTAATATTTAAAGTTCATTTTTTAAATGTAAATTATTTAGGTACTGAAAGTTTATTATTTGATATATTACCAAATAATGAACCATCAATATACAAATAATGTACATTTAGTATACAAATAATGAATATTTATTCATAGTTTACCGTATAATTATCTATCAGGTTCCAAGTTTAACTCTCTGTAAAAACAGCTTATCTTGATTTGACTCTTGACCATAGTTATGCTAAATATTATGTTGTGGAAACGTGTTCACCATGCATGGTGGACACGTTCCCAGAACGGCGTCGTTTACGTCGTTCTAATTAAAAAAAAAAAAAAATTATTTTGAAGAGCCGTTAACGGCGTTATTCGTTTGTTACAGGAGGATATGTTCATCATTTGATAACTATACAGTTTAGAAATTATGCATCTACAGTATAGATATTATGAATCTGCAGTATAAAAATTATGAATCTACTGTATAGAAATTATGAATCTAATGTATTTAAATTATGAATTTACAGTTTAAAAATTATGAATCTACAGTATAAAAATTATGCAGGATAACAATACCAATAAGTCACTAACGGCACTATTACTCAATCACACGAAAACGGCCCCGTTTGGAACTGTGCCCACCTTGTAAAGTGGGCACGATTCCACGGCATAACGCTTCACAGAGTTAAGTCTAATAAATTATATAATTAGATACATATAATTACAACAAAATTACTAAATAATACACATTAGAATTTGAGATCAAATGCCATAATAATCAGTTCATAATCCAAAGTGTATAGTTACTAAATAAAGGGGTTGTGTACACACTACCTATCATCTAATTCACACACAATCATCACTCCCCCAAATCTACATTTTTTGGGGGGGATAAACAAATTTCTCCATTTCATTCCTTCATACGATTCTGATGAAAAGAAATGGTGATATGATTTCACAACAGACAAGCACTACTTCAAAGAAAATACTATCTCGTATCAAACAGACACTACTTCGAAAGAAAGGGAGATACAATCTCGTATCAGACAGGCACTACTTCGACCTCGTAAATCGTAATGAACTATGATACATTATGAATAGGTGACCTTCAAGACCTTTCATCCCCACTCCAATTGTCTTTCCACTTAGGCCCAGTTGGTCCTTCCTCACCCAAAATCTCACTGGGAAGATCCTTCACAACTTTCTCCAGTCCAGACTTCATCTTTCCAGGCATAAACCTGGCAATCTTTTTCAGCTCTTTCCCAATGTCATAGCTTATCTTTGGCCCCCATTCTCTTGCATAGTTCAACCATGGTGGCTCAACAATCTCTTTCCCCAAATACTCTGCAGAAACAACAGAGAATTTTAGCCCCGTGTCCATACTCATCCCGCCTTTCGCAGTGTCGTTCTTTATGCCTATCTCCCCAATCCCCTGCAAGCTCTGCCCCGTGCTCGGGTATGCAGCGTGGCCATGTAACGAGGAATAAACGACGGGTTTGTTAGTGCCATTTTGGTACTCGAGCTGGGAAGCGCTCACCCACTCCCCCTTGCTGTGTTCTGAGAAATACACGCTTTTTAGCTCCCCGTCGAAGTTGCTGATCCTCAGTGTCACGTGCTCCCAATCGCATACATGTTCCCCGATTTTGCCCAGGGAGAGCGTCACGAACTCGATTTTAGCCTTGGCGGCCCCGTTGAAGGGGTAGAATAGCCATACTGCCATATCTGTAAATGTCCCACCAAACATTGGCTTAACATGAACATAGGCTGATGCATTTTCTAAGTTGCCTTTTTTTACCCTAAGTTTATCTGCATCACTGGCTGGGAGGTCTAGCCAGTAGGCCCCGTCGTTCGAGCCTCCTTGCGGGAGGTTTGAGCCCCGTGGCTCGACCGCAACTGGTCCAGTTTGGTTTCCTTTCGTGTACAGTAACGCCCCGTTTTGGAAAAACCAAGTGACAGAAGAGGGCAAGAAGACCTCGTTCGGGTGGAAGTAAAACACGGGACCATACGCTTTCATAAGCGCCCCGATTTGGGTCGAGCTTGGCATGGCCGAGAAGTTTTTGTTTGCATTATTCTTTAAGCAAGGCAGCACCACCGAAGAATTCGGGTTGGTTTGAGCAACGAACGATCCAATAGCCACCCCGGAAGCCTGGATTCCCCTATCTTGAGGCCTCGAACCATACACATTAAAGTCATCAGCCCCCCAAATCCAGTCATGGCTTTCGGATACATTGGTGAAATCGGACCGAACACACCGGATTCTATCCACCGAAGGCTTCTGAGGCGTGGCGGTGACCACATAGCCCACTGCTTCATACCTGTCATATAGAAAAGAGAATACAAAGCCCTATAAATAGGTGCTACAAGAAGTTTCCATATGTCCTACCTGCCTAAATCACTAAGACTGCCTAATCTATAGAGATTCCAAATATCCAATATATTCTATAACAATACCCATCTGTAGGCTTTGGCAGCCAAATGTAGACAGGACTATCCTGATCCGTCTCTGCATTGCTCTCGAGACTCCAAACGAGATCATAGTCAGTCGGTTTCTTTAAAGAACCTCCCGTGGCATTCCCAGTAACATCTTTCCCAACAAGAACCCATCCATAAAGTGGCATATTGTTTGGTTGTGCATAGGATCCAAGCATGAAAAATCCTTCTGGTATTAGTGATGGTTCGAAGAATGATGCCCCGCTATCTCCAGGACCGCCTTCTCCTGTACTCCAAACCTTAGTAAAAGACGATACCTGAGCCACCTGCAGCCCTCCAAGATCAATAATCCCCTTCGCAAAACCCCCACCTAAAACACAACAGACAAACATAATTAAGAAACACTTATTGTCAATTGAAGCATGTAGTCCATCTCAACTAAAAGGCTAAGCTAATAGTTGGATTGCACATTAATGGCTATATGCTCAACATTGTCAACTTCAAATGTTTTTAAAACATGGAATTATGGATTGAAGTGATGTTCTGAAGCAGGAATCGCGGGGGAATTGATTACCCGGAGGCCAATGGGGCAAAGAAGAAGGAAGCTTGAAGGCGTTATCGATTAGCATCGACGCGATGCTCATCTTCACAGATGAATCAACAACAGATGAGGGAGAAGATGCGTTTAAGCAATTCCCCATGGTTGAATCTTCCACGCAATGGCGACTTGTCCCTCCACTTTGTATTGCAAGTGCAGGGAACAGAATCAGGCAAGCAAACAGGACATTCTGCACCAAAACATTCTTAAAAAAAGCACGCGATTTAATTTGTTCAAGGACAAGTTTCAACCTTCACAACACATATACATATATAATGTTGTTGTCTTCTTAGATTCCAAGAAACCAAGTTTGATTTCTGCAAATTTTATCACAATATGGGCATTTGTTTCTTTCTTGTTACTGTAACTAAATAAGATTCAGAGGCTATGAGTGCACGCCTGAGCATATACAAAAGCAAAGACATCATGGGAGACACGACAAGAAAATTGTAGTCCTTAGCATATTATAGGAATCCACAACATGCCCAAGGAGTTAAGGCATTACAAAAGGGGGGAAAATCGAATACGTAAAACGTTATGGGGTCGTGGGGTCGTGTTATTTAAGTTAGATTTTGGTCTAAATTGCGTCTGTCATGACGGGACTTGATTAAAGTGTAACAAATTAAAGAACTTTAAGCAAAAGCTTATTTGCAACTTCAACTTGCATTAATGTCATGGTTGCACTTGTTACATTGCGTGTTAGCATTAAATTCCTTTTTCACTTTTTCTCCCAAAAAGAAAAAGAAAGAGAAAAGAATATGTGTTTCTTTAAAGAAAGCCCAAATGGGCCAAACCACTGACATGCTTCACTTCAAAATATATTCCGTGAACGGCCCTATTGGTCCAACGAGTCTTGACTAAATTAGTTTCACTTAATACATGAAATACAAATTAAAGTATTCACTATTTGAAGGTGTGCACCATTTTGGGTAAATCCTATTCCCCAGAAGATCACAAAAGATAATTAGGTTCTGAGTAAATCTTATACCAAGTACGTTGATAGGTCAGTCATCAATATGAGTGTACAAACTTCGATAAATTTTTGATTAATTGACCTAACCGACAATGGTTAATGGTTTAAGTTTCGGTTAATTTTCGGTTCTGTTAATGGTTTAAGATTTTCCTAAAAGTTCGGTTAATTCGATTCGAAACTTGTTTAACTGAATTAATCGAACGGTTAACCATATTTTTAAATATATATATATATATATATATATATATATATATATATATATAATATAATATGTAAAATTCTTATAAATTTGTAATGTTGTTATAGTATATTTGTGTATATTTTCTTATAAATTTATTATTATATTTATTATTTTAATTAAATTTATTATTATAGGTATTATTTTTAGGATTTAAAATTTTAATTTCAAAAAATTCGGACAATCGGTTAACCAAAAAAAAAAATGTGATTTGATAAATTCAATAATACAAAATTCGGTTCAGTTAATAATTAAAATTTTCAAATCTTTGGTTAAAACGGTTTGATTAACGGTTTGCACACCCCCTTATCAAGAGTTGAACTTAGAACATTCAAGAGGACTTTATCTTTTGTTTTTTGTTTTTATTTATTTTTTATTTTTTATTTTTATTTTTTTGTGCGCGCAAACTTATGGGCAATGATTGAGCCCGAGCCCGAACTAGCTAGGTTCGTAGTCGGAGAGCACTAACTTCAACTTTTCTCCGGCGAACCTTTCGGGCTCGCGGGCCAAAGCACCAAAAAGAATAACATAGATAATGACGACGTTAAGGAATCCTAAGAAAGAACAGTAACGTTACTGTTCCTCCGGCAGCCTCCCCTCCAGCCGTCGATATGATCTTATAATATATAAATCACCAGAAGAACTTTAAAAAAAAAATTAAAAGAAATGCCCATCCGCCCGTTATATTCTAAGCATTAGAGTGAGAATATGTAAAGAAAGAGTGGTACCTTGAGAAGAAACGGGTGGCCGGGAATGAACGCCATGATCTCCGGCGACGTCGAAGAGGCCCTCAAATAACCGTGGCCGGAGCTGAAACAATGCCGCGCGTACGCCTAAACAACGTCGGACAGTACAAATTAATTAAGGAAGGCTTTTTGGTGGTATTTTGATGATAAATAAAATGGTAAAGGGGACCAGATCGGAGGGCGCGGTGCCGGATATTCGAGTTGGTGGATTGTGGGGCGACCGGGTGGCGACCGGTTAGTTCAGATTTACTAATTTTCAGGAGAGTGATATATTATTGTAAGATTGTAAGAAAATGAGTGAGTGATTGATGCTATGCCCCACCAGTGGAATCCACTTTTTTACCTTTTAAAAAGAAAAAAAAATATTTGTAATTTCTGTTGCGAATGTAATCATTAATGTACAATTTAACTATCAATTTAAATTTTTAGTTGAGATGAAACATATGTTTTATTTTGATATCAGAACCATGCCAAAGGTACTATCAGCTCAATTATTTCAAAATTTACTTTATCATACAAATTGTTTACATAAACATTTGTACTGAGACTCTCGGAGCGAAAATAACATATTACTGTTTGTCATGTTAAAGAATAGAGTTTAAGAATCCATGTGATAAAACTCTTTTATAAATTTGAATTCTAACAAAAAAAAAAAAAAAAAAAACCTTACCATTCCAATTCCGAACACGAATGGAGTTAAATCACCGAATGTGTCTTAACTGATTTAGGCTTATATACTTACAGGGTGTTTGGTTGGAGAGATTTTAAATTCCATTCCCACTTAATTCCCACCTAATTCCAAAGACCATTAAATTCCATAGTTTGGTTGGAGGAAATTGCAATTCCATGGAATTGCAATTCCCCCATTTTCATGGAATTAAAATCCCATGTCCCCACCCCCCCCACCCCCCCGGTATTTTAATTCCTGGGGAAAAAAAATAGTGGTGAGTCAAAATTATCCCTTCCTTTTTTAATCTAAAATTAATGTCTAACAACAATAATGAACATTTTTGACTTTATACTACTTATTCCCTTTCGTAATTCTATTCCTGTCAACCAAACACTGGAATTTAAATTCCCACTTTATTCCCAGTAATTCAACTCCCATGAAATTACATTTCCTTTCCCACATAATTCCCCCCTCCAACTAAACGCCCTGTTATTGTCTATTGTGGTCTCTGTTTAGGATGTAATGCAATTAATATCTTAGGTACTTCAGTTAGTAATTAAATTATCTATATATTACAATTAATTTATTATGTACATACAGTTAATAAATCATATATATATTAAATTAATGTAACATATTATGTATCTTCAGTTAATAAATTAGGTACATATTACTATTAACATATTATGTATATCTAATTTATTTACAAGTAAATAATCTATTAACAAAAATTATATAATATATTAACTACATGTACATAATTTAAATATTATTTTAGACTATCATTTACCATGTAAAGTAAATTCTGGTCCACATTATACTTTTCCTTTAACACAAGATTAAATGTATACTTCTTATATGGGAGGTTGTGAGTTCGAGCCCAGTAGATGCGTTATTGACTCTTTGTGCTTCAGTCGGTCGTTGAGAAAGTAGTTATTAACAGATACAGTCTGTAGTATTCAAAAAAAAAAGTCTATACTTCTCTTTTTTTGGCCCTAGTTATGATATCAGCATTTTCCTTCTTCTTCTTCCAAAAAAAAAAAAAAAAAAAAAAAAAAAAAAGCTTTAAAAAAGCAATTGAATTAGAAATCCAATAAGTCATGACTAGAAAACCTACCAAGTAAAATGTACTAAAGTATATTGTGCTTTGGCAATATTTTCACTACCTAGTAATGAGCTATCACATGCTTATTTGACTTTTAGGTGGATTGATAGAGAAATATGATTACCTTTCCGCATAAATATAAGGATTAGTTGATCTAATACCATTTTGTACATTTATTTGAATATTATTACATAAATACACTTTTATTTTTTTTTTTAATACTTTGGTGATCCTAGTTTTGTCAGACTAATACTAAACCCAAAGGATTCTGCTCCTAAAGTCACTGCAGAGGTAAGTTGCAAGTCACGCAATCAGTTTACTGGTCTAATCCTAATCTTTATGTGCGCACAAGGGATCCGAGCTATACTGTCTAGCATTCTTTGGGTCTTTTTCCCATAGATACTTCTAATGAGATTCGAACTCCCACATTGCCGCCTCTAGTCATGACATAAGTCAGACAACGAACCAACTACGCTAAGCCCCGAGGGACAAATACACTTTTCATTACCTGGACGGTTGGACTTAAATCAAAACTATATTTTTATGATCAATTAACCTAAAATAAATTCAAAAGATCGATTTACTTTACTAATAGTTATAGGATGCATGGTTTAAATGGATATATGAATTTGACTTTATTGTAGGCACGATTATACAAATATTGGCTTGACACGAAGGAGTAGTCTCCTTGGAGACGAAGGGACCTTCGTCTCTAGGCCAGAGACGAAGAGACGGTTTCCGGCGATAGAGATGGAGAGACCCTCAGAGACGAAGGCAATGGAGTGGTGATTTTTTTTTTTTTTAATTTTAAATAATTATTTTAATTTAAAATTATTAAAATTAAATTAAAAAATATATATTTTTAAGTTCGGCAACCACCACGTCAATTTATTACTAAGTAAACAGAGTATTAGGTAAAATGACATGAATTTACATTATTTAGTGACTCAATTGCATTTTTTTAAAGTTCAATAACCGTAATTTGATATCTAATTGGATGAACTATTTGATCCTTAAAACCTTATAAACTCTAATGGATGTCTGTAATAAGTTATTACCTTTTCTTTGAGCACCTCTTTCATGCTAAAAGTTATTATTTCCTTCTTACAAAAAGCAAAATTTGTTATTTATTGATGCATGAAAATAAAGCTCTCAAGTCTCAAATGAAAGACATTATTACACTCATAGACTTAGCAGTTCCTTAGGTTATACTAAGGTACTTTTAGGGGTATTAAGGTAAGCTTAAGTCCGCGGGTCAGTCCTAAATTGTTCTGCGGTAAAACAGGTTTGGGTCTAAAATTATTAATTCGCGAAAATACAAGCCTCGCAAGTTTGGAACGGGCAACAGCCTAGAATTGTATAATTCTAATCTGTGGGCTTTGTAGGCCGGCCCACAATAGTCCGTGAGAAAAACCCGCGGTGGGATGGACCTAATAGGACGGGCCAGTCCGCGTTGACACCCTTAGGTTCATCGCTGAAGTTATAAGCCTCGTATCTTAAAAAACAATAATAACCGGTGAACACCCAACCTCCGATTCGCGAAGGACAGTTGCTCTTCACTTGACGTTTAGATCTACGCAGGCAACTCGCACATTCCGACGCCGTCAAACTGTACAGGCAACGAGCGTGGCCGTACACCGGAGGGCCGCCGGTGGCCGGAGGAGAAACCACGTACAAGTTGTATCCGTCGATCCTCGGCGTCGAGCCTATTAAATCGGTGAAAACATAGTCCAGACTCGCCCCGAACCGGCTCTCTTCTGTGTATTCTTGGCCGTTGCATTGATAAGATATAGCACCGGAACTCTCTGCGCTCCTCGCCGGAGAACATGATAGCATCAAGGCTGCTGAAAATAAAATCGGGATTATCATCGTTAGACGACGCAATCTGATCATCTTGCGAGCTTAGCAGAGACTAAGGATTTCAGGTGTTTAAATATGGGTAGCTTTGGCCGCTGTCGCCGTCGATCATTGTATGGTATAATGGTATATACTGTAGTTTGTCGCCGGCGTTTCTTGTTTTAAGCTGTCGCGCCTTTCGTTTCTAAGCTTAATTAGAGGATAATTAAGGGCGGCGGACAATGTAATAGAATGTTGGTCGAAACGATGCAATCAAGTTAAGATGGAATAATCTTGCCGAAGCCAAGGTAGTTTTAGGCCAGGGAAAATAGAATAGCATCTAGACTATTGGATAAATTTGTTGGTGATAATGAACTAATAATCAATTTAATATCGTAAAATAATATTTATATATATACACATAAGTATATAAAATATTATTTGATATTTATCCGAAATATATATATATACACACAAATATATATAAAACGGATCCATCGGTTATATATATATATATATATATATATATATATATATGTATGTATGTATGTATGTATGTATGTATGTATGTATGTATGTATGTATGCGAAAAAGATATATCAATATATATCTACCAAAAATTGGAACAAATAATCCTCAAATTATGAGTCCAATCCAACGGCAAAACAAATATGGAGAACGGATTTTGCTTAGAAGCATAATCCAAAACCGAAAGAAGGAAAAGATGGCTCGTGTTTGGGTAAGGGTTTTTAGCGTGAGTCAAGAGACCACTCTTTCCTTAAAACCTTATTTGCCACCTCCCACAAGTGCTAGGAGCGTCGTGGCCTAGGTTTCCCAGGATAAAACGCGCTACGGTTCGACGTTTGAGTACCCAAACGAACGGACCCGGCGAACTAGAGCAAAGCCTTGAACATAGTTAGGCTTAAGAAAGGAGTAGAAGCAGAAGTATTTGAAGCTTGAAAACCAAAGAGCTCTTGTGCTTTTTTCAAGCTTGAAAACCAAAGAGCTCTTGTGCGCTTTCTACCCCTTCCTATATAAGGGAGGAGTGCTTAATAGCATTGATCATGGCCCTGAAACAGCAACCCCATTAACAGAGCCTGTGCACACAAGCTCGGGCTTGAATCAAGCCTTTTCGAAGTCATCTCTAGTTGGAATTTAATTTGCAATCCCCCCCCCCCCCTCCAAACTCACTTTTCCCTTCATTTTTCCAACTAAATGGGTCTACTTTGAGAATCAATATCTCATTCACCCATTATCCGTTTTTAGCGTACAATATATCAATCTCTTCGTCTCACTACGAAGAACACGAATCCACTTTGACCCGACCTAAATTGGAAGTGGACCCCACTGATAATTGTACCACAAAATAGCCACTTAAAATGTCATTTTAATGCTATTTTTCCAACAAAATTAAACCTTGCTCATGTGTAAAAGCAAGCAAATCATATTTGAGGGGTAAAGTGCACTAGAAAGACCTCGTGCGACGAATTCGATCGAGATAATGTAACAGAAATCAAACTCGTGAACTTTACATACGAGTTCCACCCACTCGACCACCTCTTTCAAGACTTTTTGTTATCTCATTGTTTCTTGTGTCGGGAGTTTCTAGTCTCGAGTTTATTAAGAATATATACATGTTATCTAGA